TTATCACAACCTGAAATGCTTAGATTCCCTTCATTTCCTGTTTGTTTATCAGATAGCTTATCCAGTAATAATATAAATCCCATAAGGGTAGGAGCTTTGCTTTTTGGTTATCTACTTTCTGCTTGGAATTTGAACGTGTCTAATACATAATAGACACTTAATACATCTGTGATGAATAAATGAATGTTCCTGAAACCATTCTTCAGTTCCTCCTGAGAACTTGTAAGCCTGCTACCGATCCGTCATAGACTAGTATCACAATTGTAAAATTTCCCTTCTGATATGTGACTGCATTTCATTTTATCTCTATGATTTAAAGGGTATATGTTTTCTGAAAAATCCAGGAACTTTCTCCACCTTGGCTCATGGAGCTGGTCTGTCTTCTTTCTTCCGTGATAAACTCGCCTCTCTTCCATCTTTGTGCACACACGTCTACACGTGTGCTACGGGTCCCAAAGGACTAACTGTTCCAAGAGCTTGATGTCTTTTAAAAAAAAGTTCTTAGTTTCTTTAAAAAGACATAATTGTTGCCTCTCCAGAGATATTTTTACAGTGCGTCCCTAGAGGAGGAATTCCAGCTGATGGCCCAATGCAGGGCAGAGGCCCATAGACAGACAGTCTGGCTCCAATTTATGCTCTATGTTCACATGGCTAATAGGCGTTAGTATTTTGATTTAGAGAAGTACTGTGCTTGAACCTGCCTTGGTTATACACTGGTAACATCTGGCTTAGAACCACACATTTAAAGGCCAAGAGCTATTTATTTTCTTCATCTTCCTCCTCCTTCTCTCCTCTCTCTCTCTCTCTATCCATCTCTCACTCTCTGTATTCAGTAAAATGTCTGGGGAATAGTTTCAGTATTTTGATAGAACAGTACACAGAATAAATTGGCAATAGTTCAATTTGCCCCCTATTAAACACTGTTGTAGATACTTGGAACGTTTTGGCACTGTTGTAATATGTATAATATATATCAGAGCTTCCACAAAACCCTGTTAGTGCCTTTATTATCCCACTTTTTTCCTATATCCAAGTTTTTGCTATCACTTCATTTTAGACCCTAAACTCAACACTCACTACAGTTAAATGCAAAAAAAAAAAAGGAGCTCTTGATTCATAAGGTGCCCATAATTCTACAAACATCCAAAGAAAATGAGCAAACATCTCTGTATAAAACTTGGGTTCAATCCAGATGTGTGTTTGATTCTCAAATGCCTGATAAAACAGTGGAATTGCAGGCGCTGGCAGCTCCTTCACAGCAGTTGGGCAAGATAGAGGGTGCCCAGCATACAGAGACATTGCTAAGACTACACCCACCAAATTTCCAGCCATCTTTCTTGTATTCTTAGATCTGTGAGTCTTTTAGCTGGAAAAATGCAGTGCTATAATCTGCTCACTTAGAATTAGCTGTCCCAGTGACTTACTAAGCTGGAAAAAAACAAAAAGTAAAATTAGATATTTGAAAGTAAGCCCTCCCCAGACATCCTCTTAGAAACAAGATCACCACCTCTTACAGGCATGATTTTCCTTGGCTTATGGCATGACTATCCCTAGCCCATCTGTGCCAAGCCTTTGGCATGGCTGACGAAACATCTCTCTTTCAACAGGCCTTGCTCTCTGGAAACCTTAGTAAAATACAGCTAGTTCACACTCCAGCAAACCACAAACCTAAACTTTCCCAGTTACAAATGATATTTTGCCAAAATGCTTACTAAGTCCTGGCTCTCATAGAGTGTGTGATGTGGAATCACCACTGCTTGAAAAACAAATGACCAGGCCTCCCAGTGCCGTGGGGTTACATTCCAGTGCAGTGCTCAACTGCAGTTTTTATCACACCACATGCCATGCTGGCTTGCTAGCAGATGCTTGCATTTTTTTTTTTTTTTTTTTTTAATTAACCTTGTTTGCATGCTTATCAGATGTACAAAATGCATTCTTCATGGATTTTCCTATCACTGTCTGAGTAGCACAGAGAGTTACGTACTTCAGAAGCATGGAATTGATCAAAGTAACAATCAAAAGGAACAGTATGTTTTCTCCCATCCCCATAAATCTGATCTGTAAATGCAAAGAATGTGAAGAATGAACATAAGAAATAATTGTATTTCAAACTTAAAAAGAAAAATTGGCAAATTATAGGATAAGAGCCTAACCAACCTGGTCTCCAGAAGGAAAACCTTTTAAATCAGATGTTTCTGAACTCCTATCTGAAATAACTATCTTTAGGGCAGTAATCATCAGAAACATAACAGAGTAGTGTGGAGCTCAGTTTTATTGTCTTGCATCCGTGAACATTCCTCAAAAGCATAGCGCGTCACTAATGGAATTATATGTTTTCATGCTATAATTACATTTGATTTTTCCTGATATTTCTGTAGACTTCGTTCATGGTTCCATGACTAGGCAGAATAGTTTCATAGAATGTCTTCAGCCCATTTAATGCCTAGGTCCCTACAACCCCGCCAAAAAGATAGACACTAACAATAGGAGCTTTTCAACCAAAAAAGACAAAATGTATTTTTTCAATTTACACAACCTTTAGAGCTTTTATTTAAACAAAAATATGATCAAAAAAAAAAAAAAGAAGAACAAATAATTTTATACTTGAAGGAAACAGAGCAAGGGATCCTTCTGAACTCTGAAATTCATTGAGACACAAACTGACACACGAAAAAAAAATATACACACATATATAAATATATATATATGTTTATAATATATAAAAATATAAATATACAAATATTTATAGAATAAATATATATAAATATATATATATATATATATATATATATATATAATTTTTTTTGAGGTACAGTTTTACTGTTACCCAGGCTGGACTTCAGTGGCATGATCTTGGCTCACTGCAACCTCCACCTCCTGGGTTCAAGCGATTTTCCTGCCTCAGCATCCCGAGTAGCAGGGATTACTGGCACACACCACTATGTCCAGCTAATTTTTATATTTTTAGTAGTAATGGGGTTTTACTGTGTTGGCCAAGCTGGTCTCAAACTCCTGACCTCAAATGATCTGCCTACCTCAGCCTCCCAAAGTGCTGGGATTACAAGGGATGAGCCACCGTGCCCGGCCTACTTATCAATAATTTTATTCTTGTTTTGAATAATTTTATTCTTGTTTTGTTTGTTGGGTAAAACAGAACTGATTTGATCTTTGGATATATAGTCCCAAATGGTTCTGTCTCTGGAAGACAGATGAATCTAGCTACACAGTCAAGCCACTGGATGACAAAATACCAGGATGCCATCAAGTATATGAAGAGTCAGCATCCATTTCTGAAAAATGAGAATCTCTGGCTATGAAATCCATGTAAATCTCCAAATGAGGAGATGTAAACAATTAGAAAATTATGCTGAAATCCAACACATTATTGTCTTATCTCTGTCTTCCCTCATAACAAGTCTTAGTTTAGTTCTCATACCTCAATGATCCCTTAGCACTCAATCCCTTTTCCTTAGCATATAATTCCTATTCTCCAGATTTTAATGGCTACAGAACACAGGATGACGTCTCAAATGTGTTTACATTTTAGGGCTTCTCCCTCAAAACATGATGAAAGGAAATATAGGAATAAAATGGGTTATTGTAGTGGAGGTGTGGAATGAAGAGTGGTTTTTCCTTGCAAATGGAATCAGTTCAGAGTGTAGATGGATACTGCTTGTCCTGACCTGGGTTGCATGTTCTTATCATAAATTGAGTAAAGTTAGCGTCACATTTCCCCAAGTTTAGATACATTTCTTGAAATGCCGTTTATTAGAACATTGAAAACACAATTTCACTTCTCTTTTCTCAAATCCCTGCAGTCTGGCTCCTGGCCCAGCCACTCAACCCAAATCACCCTCTGAGGTCTTCCAAAATAACTTCTCAGCCAAAACCAATAGTATCCTTCTAGACTTGTCAGCTTTATTCAAAACCTTATTCTTCTCCCTGCTAACACCCATCTGGTCTCAAATTCTAAGGGTTTGTCCCTTCCAGGTTTTTTCTTTTCCATATCTTCAGAGTTGCACCTATTAGCAGTTTTTCTTTAGACATCATTCCAACTTTGATAATTTTAAATACAATGTTTGAGCATGAATTATTTCCCTATTCCAATCCCTATCCCTAAATGCTCCTTACCTTTTAGTCGTATATCTCTTGATGCCAGACCTTCAGCTGCAGTTAATTATGGTAAAGTAACAACTCTGGTCTTAATTTTCAACTCCTTGCTGCTGTTTAATATCATGGTTTCTGTAAACAAAAATTGAGTCATTTTAACTCTTTACTGATCCCTTCACCTTCATTAAACTTCCCAAAGCATATATTTTCTACCTGGATTACACTTACAGAACTAATGTTCTTTTAGCTATTCTTACCCTTCTGTTCTTCAGCCTTACTCAAATGCAGATTAGGCCAAACTCTACATATGTTTGGATAGGGAGATTCCTCTTACCCTGTTGATAAAAATGCAATTAAAAATTAAGTAGTGGTTGCACCATCCTCTGCCAGCTCTTCCTGTTCCACCACCAGATAACATTCTCAAGTCCTACAAATACCCAGTTGACCTATTTTTCTCTATCTTTTAATTCCCATTACTTTTCATTGTTCTGAAAAAGACATCCTTTCTTCTTTTTAGAAGTTTGCTCCATTCTTCAGCACTCCATCCAAATATCTTTCTCCAGACAACTTTCTATAGATTATATGTAAACTGGGTCATATGAACTAGCTGGCTCCCTTCCTCCTTCTCTCCTAAACATACAGCTTCACCTGAAAAAGTATGCTGAGTCATCTTTACGTATGTCTAAATTGCCAGGTGTGTCTGTGCATTTGGTACGTCTGAAACTTCTGGAAAGTCGCCTTTTCGGATAACTGATAAATTTTTTGAATCTTCAGTAAAAACCCATGCAGTCTCCTCCCTCTTCCACCACAGCAGTATGTGCTTAAAATATTTTTAATAGTAAGGGTGTTTACTGAAATTGTACCTCATTATGTATACATTTTCTTTACAGGATCCCCCCATGGCTGTAACCCTTGGACTCCGCATGGAAGAAATGATTTTTAATCTTGCTGATACTCATTTGTTTTTTAATGATTTAGAGGTAAGAATTTTACAAGTTACGAACAGTTGTGTCCAATACCAGACCTCTTAGATGGTTTCAATATCTGCAGATAATCTCAAGAAAACAGAAAGATAAAAATTTAGCTCAAGAGAAGCATAAGGTTCTTATCAAGAGGAAAAATTGTATATACAAATATAAACAGAAAGTTAATTTGTGTTCATGGATAATACATATGTAGAACAAAAATATCTTTGAAGAGGAGATTGCTAGCTTCACTGTCCTTACTGTCCACAGCTGTACATGACTTAGTTCTTTCAGACACAACCCCCTTGGCACCTTTGGAATCAGCATTAGTTTTTCCAGATAATTAACCAGGAACCTATTTAGGTTAACCTCTAAACAATATTCACAAGCACTATTCATGGTGATAGCATGGGTCATTAAATTTTATGGATAATCTGAAGCTTAACTTCAGATAACATTATCATTCCCCATTTCTTTTCCTTCTGGATAAAACAGTGCTAGAACTATTTAAGCACATTTGATGCATTTAAGCACATTTATTTTTTCATTTTTAAATTTATGTTTCCATTTTCAACCTCGAATGGCAAGACAGTGTCTAAATGGCAAATAAAAGGAAGAGAAAATAAAGACAACGGCAAAATGAAAGGGCCCAAGGAAGAATGGCCTCAGAATGGTTGAATGTGTACTCCAATAAGTGATGCCATCTGTGTGCTAATGATTTAGGTTATTAGACATTCAGATGGTAGAATTTGAAATAACTAAGTAGTTCAGGTTCTTGACAGAAGTACTTCTCAGTCAAGCATAACTATGCTAAAATAGAAATTTCCCTTTCATTTTTTTCAGATGACATGTTTAAATTTATTTTTTATCTTAGTTTCACAATGAAATAAAAGTTTCCATTTGTAATTATATTACAAATTGAGAGGGTTCAGATAAAAATTTTACTGAACCCTTACCTTGTTCAACATATTTTATGTTGGACTTTCCATTAATTACTTAACAATGTGTTGAAGTAAATGTGTTTATCATATTATTTATGCAGGGGAGAAACTGTGCAGTCCACAGCATAGAAATCACATCCAAAGTTACCTGCTATCTAAATGGTAGAACTGGAATTTGAAGCAGATTTGCTTGGCTCCAGAGCACATACTTCTGAACCATTCTATGCTGAAAATTTTTCAACTGTGTGAGAAAGAAAAGCCAAGATATTGAGTGACTTAAATAAGTTTTTTTTTTTTTTTTTTTTTTTTTTTTTTTTTTTTTTTTTTTTTTTTTTTTTTTTTTTTTTTTTTTTTTTTTTTTTTTAGTGACAACGTCTTAAATCCGGTTTTAGTTACATTTGAGACATGAGCATAAAAATGGGTGGTTCAGTACATCCCATCAATGTGTGTGCTGAAAATATGTGTAAAAGCATTTTGCTGTTGTTTTTGTTTTTCTATACAGCGAGTCAGTGTTTTTACTGAATAATGCAATTACTATTTGTTTAAAGAGGCATTCTTTTTTATTCTACAGTGGACAGTGTGAAAGATCAGTATTACTAGGCAAGGTTTCCAGTTTTATATAACAAATAATAATCACCTCTCTAAAACCTTACTTAAATTGATCCTGCTACTTATTAATACGGAATGATTTTATGTATACCTGATAATAACAAACACATTTAATCTTTCCAGAACTTGGAATTTTTAACATACAGTGATAACTTTTGGGGTTAGATTTTCTGGTGATCAGTATGGATGAGTTTTATTCTAAAGAGAATCCTATTAGTCCTTTCAGAGATGTAAAAAGAGAAAAGAAATTTTATGTGGTTGTATCCAACTTTTATAGTGCTTAGTTCATTTCGTTAATTATTTTTTTTACTAGAAATAAGTGGAATAAATGAACTTTTAGCTATTTTAGTGGCACATTAGAAGCCAGATGAAATAAATTTACTACCCAACTTTTAAACAAACACTAAAGTGAGAAGGTGAAAATAGCATATAACAAATTCGTAACTAATTTTAGCAAGTTTGAAATGAATATTGATATATCAAAAACATATTATAGTCATGTATGGTACTTAAAGACTTTTATTTTAGTTCAGGTACTATGTTATACATATTTCAAAAATATTTGGCAGGATCTTTGGTGGAAGTTGTTCCTGAGAAAATACTGGTATTGACTTTCTCTTCTCTGAGCAGACAGCTCTTTAGTTGTGTTTTAGGATGTGGTAAGAATTTCATTTGACCCAAACCCTAGAACTTAGCTATTCAACAATACTGCCCTTAATAAATAAAATAATTGAGTTCAGTTATTTGACTGAACTCTCACTATACATGCATGACACACAGATGCTTGCACGTCCAGATGAAGTACCCAAGGAAACACAAACATTTATTTTTGACTTGAGTAAACAAGTACTAAAACTAATAAAATCAAAACAAAAGCTTTCAAAAAGCATTCAGTACAGTTATCATAGCCCCCTATCCTTCTGCATTTGACTTTGAAAGGCAGCTTTACTTTCACACAATTTTTTATTTCAATAAACCTCTTATAACCAAAAATTTTCTTGGGCTCCATAACTAGAATTAAATGATTTCTACTGCTATTGACAAAAAGAATTATTCAAGAGAGTAACTCTATCATTAACTTATTACATCGTCATTGTTGTTGTTGAATATTTAAACTCTCAGGGTGGTTTTTAAAAAAATCTGTACATCTAATTTGACATTCATATCTTTAAATAAATACTGCAGCATATATACTAGCAGCTGTTTCTCACATAATTCCTTAAAAGATACAAATTTAAATCCTCTTAACAGACATTTTACTGCACCCCGCCCAACTGCAGAGAAGGCAAATGCTCAATCTACCCTCCCCACACAGAAGAGAATCCTGGGTGTTTAATAAAATGCTATTTCAGTTAGAATAACCTCCAGCAAAGAAGTCTCCAGGAAGTTTGAGATGGCAAAAATGAGAAAAGACTGCTGTGAATAATAACTGATAAATATCAGTGACAACTTTCTGGTCACTGTGTAAGACAAAATTAAAGTATTTAAGGTTAGCTCTAGAATATTTTCAAATGTTTGGGTTCTACTAAAATCTGTTAAAGCCAAAACATTACAATTTTTTTTTCAGTATTTTACTTTTTGGTCAAAATGATTCTTAAAAAGTTCCTCAGAGTGAAAAATAATTGAAGAACAATTATTTAGCTTTTTCTAAACATGTAAATAATGGAAATTCAGGCTTCTTTCACTGGACTGTAATCCTCCGGCAACCATCCAGAGTCAACAGGCATAGTTAACTAGGCATAAATTTAAAGAGAAGCTAAATTTGGAAAAACCTCAAACATAACTTCAAAAATGGAGTTTATGGTCCAATAAGTGTAATATACTGTTGTCCTCAGGAGTAAAAGGTAAGTTTTTGGATAATGTATGTACAAATTGATCATGTGAGTTAATACTTAATGTCAGAGGAATTCCTCTAAAAATTATAATAAGAGGGTATTAAATATAGAAATAACTTCTGATTACCAGGGAAATTTATAAGGATTCCTCCACTTTAAAAAATATAATTAACTTAGTATAAAAGAGAGACACAAATTATTTGCATGAGGAAAGATTTCAGAACTTCAAGAAATTGGCAACTTGGTGCAATATTTCAATAGCGATTTATTCAGTCTATGGACTTACCCAGTATGTCATTATCTCTAAATAAGAAATAGTTCCATCATTTAGAACTACTTTTGTGCCTCCATATTCTGGGAGAGAAACTTTATTTCCGACTTTTATGCTCACTGGTAAAATCTCTCCACTCTTTTCCTTAAAGCCCAGTCCAGCAATTACTGTCCTTGCTTGCAATATGTTTACTGGGTGTTTGCAGGGAGCATCATGCTGCCTTTGGTTACAGTTTGGACTGCACTCCTTTCAGCCAAAACTCAGTCAAAGAGGGGAAGACATTTTCTAAATACCTATTCACCAGGCCATGCCTTGGGCAGTCTCTGCACACTTCTCTCTCCCTCCCCTCCACTCTTGATATAAATATCTTTTTACTCTCCTTACTCATTTAGAATGTTTTTATTTTATATCATCATAACATTGTGTTAGAAAATATAAATGATTGTGTAATCCTATAAAGAATTAGCATTTGTCTAGTATTCCCCTATTTATTTAAGAATTGTGGAGTGATTATTCTATGCCAGATGTTCCTTAAGTAGGAATATAACCTGATGAACCAAATGCCACACTCCAGAGCACTTCCAGTCAGACTAAATTTTGGGTCCTTACGTGTAGGTGGAGATTTATTCAAAACTTACTAAACCTATAATTTCTATAAATTATGTGAACTTTTAACTTACCTGGATTTTCAAGTTACCCAAAAGGCACTGATTGGGCTAGTCACTGAGGTTTTTTTTGTTGTTGTTGTTTTGTTTTGTTTTGTTTTTGAGACAGAGTTTCACTCTTCTTGTCCAGGCTGGAGTGCAATGGCATGATCTCGGCTCACCACAACCTCCGCTTTCCGGGTTTAAGCGATTCTCCTGCCTCAGCATCCCGAGTAGCTGGGATTACAGGCATGCACCACCACGCCTGGCTAACTTTTGTATTTTTAGTAGAGATGGGGCTTCTCCATGTTGGTCAGGCAGGTCTTGAACTCCTGACGTCAAGTGATCCGCCCACCTCGGCCTCCCAAAGCGCTAGGATTATAGGCGTGAGCCACCGTGCCCGGCCCTGAGTTTTACTTTTTAAAGGAAGCCTGAGTCAGCTCTACCACCTTTAAAGGGGAACAGGATTAAATGCTTTCTGTGTAGAAATCTGGAGACTAGATATTAAATATTTGACTGCCAGGTACTTTCAAGCTCAATAATGAATATAAATACAAACTGAAAAACCTTTGTTTAGTATGGTGTATTTTCAAATTTAAAGACTTTAAAAATTAATTTTAAATGCTAAGCACTATGTTTATCGTCAGAATCTGTGAATATGAGTAAAATACTTTGAGGGGGACCAAGGAAGCCCAAGATGTTAAACCATACTTATTCTGAGGTTACTATGATATAGTTATTATAAATAATTTATTTTTATTTATTACATATTTATTATTCTGAGAACTAGGCATTTTAAATGCTCTCATCAAATTTCACCTTTAGGTCTTGTAATATTGTACTGGAACTTTGCAGATTACTTGAAGACTGACTAAGACTCAGAACAGCAACAAGGATTGAATCCCTATCTAGAAAAGTTACCATTTGTTCTGGACATACAGTAACTTAAAATCAGGTCAATTGTGTGGGCATACTTACATAAAGTTTATTTTGCTTGGAATTTTGTAGCACATTTGAGATGATAAATCTTCATTATTTCCCTTTTACTTATAGCAGTCTTTTTGATTTGGAAATTTTAAAACTTGACCAAAAAAATGTCAGTGTCTATGATTAGTACCCTTTGTCAAAAGACCAGGACTTTAAAATTAATACCAGCATGGTTCTTTCATGGCTCTGATCCAGCAGGAAGTCGTGGAAAATTCACAGGACACTGTAATCTAAAGCAAGACCCTCTGTTGCTGCTGAACAAATGATAAATAATAGTAACTACCTGAGGTGTTCAGACCAAATAAATTTTGTGTATCTTCAAATTAGCCGTGCTTAAGAATGCACAACAGAAATGGCTGGAAGGAAGCTCAAGTGATCACGAAGATTCAAGAGAAATTCTTATCAATAATTTTTAAGATAAAATTATTTTTTAGTTGCTCTAAAGAAACCCTCGTGCCATATATTTTCTCAACACTTTCTATGGCACTCTTCTGGATTTAAATTTTATGGAATAGAAATGGTGCCATTCCCCAGTAGAAGAAAACAAGAGTGAGGCAGTGAGATGGATGGGAACATGCTGCCATCTTCTGGCTGTAGTCTGATCAAATGAGAAGATGGGAAAACCTTCAAACATGATAACAAGCATCATTTGGAAATCAAATAACTTTTTCAATGTTTTTAACAGGAGTGTGATCAAGTTCATATAGATGATGTTTCCTCTGATGATAATGGGCAGGACTTAAGGTAAGCTATGCCTTTCAGTGCTGTTTCCTACAGAAATTCAGCTGTGGAGTTTTGCACATGTAATTATTTCTTTTTAATGTATTTTGGGTGTTACAGTACCTACAGTTTTGCAACTGATGGCTTCCATGCAGCTGCAAGTAGTGCAAACCTTTGTTTGCCAACAGGTGTGAGAGGAGGGGTTGACTGGATGAGGAAGTTGGCTTTTCGTTACAGAAGAGTAAAAGAATTATATAACACCTACAAGAACAATGTTGGAGGTATGTGTGGCTTTTTAAATCTAACAAAGGCACTCTGCGTATAGGTAGAATTCAAACTGTAGTTTCATGTTAAAGACAATTCTGCTGTAAAAGAAACAAGCAAAAACTCATTAAACCACATCGAGGCAGAAGTTTCTTAGAATTGGTGGGGAAAAATTTAATTACAAAGTAAAACATCCACCACTGTCGCATGAATTGGGAATTCTTTGTGTAACCTTCTGCCCAGACATTTGGTCAGGATTTATAGCAGGGCATTTAGTTTACCCTTTATCAGCTGGTGCTTGGCGCATTATCAGTGAAAACCACACAGAGGAATGGACCAAGGCAATGGAAAGAAGACCTTTCTCAAGAAGAGAGCCTCAAGCATTGAAGGAGAGTTGTTAGTGAGCATTATCTTTCTGGAATCCCATCATAAATAAATATAAACAGTTATTCATGTCATTTCAAAGACTTTAAATAGATTTATCTTTCAAAAAATCACACTTTATGACAGTCTATCTTTCTCATATATAGTGTCAACTATGATTATCATAGTTTTTAAAAGTTCAAATACTCGGCCGGGTGCGGGTCTCACGCCTATAATCCCAGCACTTTGGGAGGCCGAGATGGGCAGATCACGAGGTCAAGAGATCGAAACCATCCTGGTCAACATGGTGAAACCTCGTCTCTACTAAAAATACAAAAATTAGCTGGGCATGGCTGTGCACGCCTGTAGTCCCAGCTACTCGGAGGCTGAGGCAGGAGAATTGCTTGAACCCAGGAGACGGAGGTTGCAGTGAGCCGAGATCCTGCCATTGCACTCCAGCCTGGGTAACAAGAGCGAAATTCCATCTCAAAAAAAAGAAAAAAAAAAAAAAAAAACAAAAAAAAAAAAAAAAAAAAAAAAAAAAAGAAAGAAAAGAAAAGTTCAAATATTCTGTAGGTAATATCTAAACCATTTTATACCCCTTCTTATATTTTACAGGAGATATCAAACCTTCGATATCAAAAATGTGATTCTGCATATGTTTCTAGATAGATGATATCTTATTAGAATCAAATTTAGGTAAAAAAGATTCCTAAAATTTGCTATGAGGTCACATCAGATTAATCTCCCAGGATTTTGTTTCTTTATGTTCTTCTCTTTTTTTCTAAAAAGGAAGAGTAATTGAGGAACATAAACTAGAATCCAAAGTAGAATGATACAGCTAGGTATACATGTGCATACTATACATATGTGTATTCACACATATATCACAGAATACAACATAGTAAATGCAATGTTCATATAATTACATATATCCATATACATCATGAGAGTGGCGCCATGTGTCTGGTCACCTGTTATCCCAGTGCCTAGTGGTAAAACACATAATAATACTCAATAGATACTAAATAACTCCAAGAGAACAAAAAAATGTAAAGCCAAAGAGGATAATAATGTTAGCACCAAAAGGGAGCTCAGATAAGGAAGATATTTATTTCCAAATAAGAAATTGACCCCTGCAAGCTGCTGACTTGAATGGGGTTCTAGAGGAGAAACTCTGATTTCCTGATTCACATAGAGCTTGCTGTGCTCTGTACATGATGCTTCTGTAAAATCAAATAAGTATATTTTCTAGTTAAAACCAATGGCGGATAAGACGTTTAACTTTAAAATAAATGTCCCCTTGGGAAATCTGAGTTAATTTTTATCAATCAGATGTCATCATTTCCTTCTTGCAGGGTATTAATAAAATTATTTTAAATTAACAAGAACACTAAGAAATAATCTTGTGTCTTAGAAACTTTAAACAGCCACGAATCTACTTTCTGTCATATATGAGCATCTCTTTATTGTAATGAGGACAAATGAAACTTGCTAGAAACTATGAATTTTGATTGGAAAAAAACATTGAAGTGTATATGTGCTCCCAGTATTCTGAAACACAATTTAAGTAAGAAGCTTTCCTTTTTAATGGATTTACATGGTCTTGTTTTATCATAAAAGCAAGAATTGGATCTTTTAAAATAAAAAATTAGCACATCTATATTTTTTCTTATAACATCAATGTTGTAGTTCATTATTGTCTATAACTGTCCTACACTTCAAGATTTTAGACAAAATTCTTAATTTCTTTTTACATATCAAAGCATTTATAGTAGCATTAGCAATAGTATTAGAAACATTATAATAGCTACATATGATGATGCCATTGTTACTGTTTGAAAGTTGAAATGATCGTGATTATTAAGAAACTAAATGTTTTCAGACAGTCAAAACATTTGGGATTTGTGTCCCTAGGTTGGTGGAGCCCAGCTACTCCTCCAGACCTCAAATTATCACAGTCCCTTGGAATGTGATCCAGGCAGGGACATGTTCAAAGCTCTTTCAGTGATTGAGATCCACTGCACCAGATTCTAGGTTCATCAAGGGCAAAGACGGGGGCACCTTTTCACTGTCACTACCTGATACCAAGAAGTTCAGTAAATATTCATTGAAGAAATGAATGGATAATCAATTAGTTCAGAAATGAAGGATCAATATTGACATAAATCTGTATCTCTCTGCATTTCTGATATATACTGAAATAAAAATGATCTATTCTAAACAGAAGGGAGTCTAAACTAGATATTCTGAGAAAATATTCATCTCTCGACTCTGCCTTGCTTTTCGGTGTTGCAGGACTCCTTGGCCCTGCCAAGAGGGATGCCTGGCTACAGTTAAGGGCAGAAATTGAAGGTCTGACAGATTCCTGGCTAACAAATGCACTTAAGTCTTTATCAATTATTAGCACTAGGTAAGTGGAATTGTTACCTTTCTATGTCTATCATATTGAAGATTTAGTTCTAATTGTACAACATGGATTAAAAAATGGCTAATTCCTAGATTGTTTTAGATTTTTAGGGGACCTAACTATTCTGAGTTCAGTGATTTGGCATGTGCATGAGAGAGAGGGAGAGTGAGAGAAAGAGAGAGAGAGTGTGTGTGTATTGGGATGGGAGAAGGTTGCTGCCTCTCAATAGACAGGAGACCCTCTCCTGTTTATCTCTCACCACCCATCTCTTCTCACAGCCACTGATACTCCCCACAGAATGGTTACATGACTTCTAATGAAAAAAGAGAATTCTGTAGATGGCAAGGTACAAGGGGTGATGGCAAATATAAAACAGTACTGTATGTACAAAAAATGCATGTTTTCAGTGTTAGGGCATAATGTATATATAATATGTATAATGTAATAACATCAGAAAAGCAAGAGAAAGCTCTTGAAAAAATTCTAACCATTTTGCTGTTTGAACTAAACAATGAAATTCTGACTTGTATCCATATAGAGAACAGAATTAAATCAATTTGTAACCAGTTGTACAACCAAGAGCCATATATGCTAATTCATAAAGCAATGTAAATGTAGAAAGTGATAAGGTAGACAACTCTACTCTGGTAAGGTAGGGTTGAATCTCTATACTGTTAACTTCCATGATTTTATATCTGAGTTAGGTGAATAAATAAAAACATGCTTAATAAGTAGGAGCTAAATGATGAGAACTCATGGACACATATAGGGAAACAGCAGACACTGGGGCCTACTTGGGGGTGAAGCGTGGGAGGAGGGGGAGGATCAGAACAAAATAACTGTTAGGTATGAGACTTAGTACCTGAGTAATGAAATAATCTGTATAGCAAACCCTTGTTACACACGTTTACCTATATAACAAACATACATATGTATCCCTGAGCCTAAAATAAATATTAAAAAAGAATCTGTCAGCATTTCTGTTAAGATTAATGAGATCATGCAGCATTTGCTTTTCTGTTTCTGTGTTAGTTTGCTAAGGATAATGGCCTCCAGCTCCATCCATGTCCTGGCAAAGGGCATGATCTTGTTCTTCTTTATGGCTACATAGTATTCCATGGTGTATGCACACCACATTTTCTTTATCCAGTCTATCATTGATGGGCATTTAGGTTGACTTCATGTCTTTGCTATTGTGAATAGTGCTGCAGTGAACATGTGTGTGCATGTGTCTTTATAGTAAAATGATTTACATTCCTTTGGGTGTATACCCAGTAAGTGGGATTGCTGGGTTAAATAGTAGTTTTGTCTTTAGGTATTTGAGGAATTGCCACACTGCCTTCCACAATGGCTGAACTAATTTACACTCCCACCAAAAACCACATGTTCTCACTTATAAGTGGGGGCTAAGTGATGAGAACATGTGGACACATAAAGGGGAACAACACACACTGGGGCCTTTCAGAGGGTAGAGTATGGGAGGAGGGAGAGGATCAGGAAAAAAAAAATGGAAATTAGAGTTAATACCTGGATGATGAAATAATCTGTACAACAACCTCCCATGACACAAGTTAACCTATGTAACCAACCCGCTGAACTTAAAAGTTAAGAAAAGATTAATGATAAGATGACAAATTGCTAGTTATAAAAAAAAATTAAAAAAAAAAACCCAGTATGCTTAATAAATGTATGGGGAACACAGCATTCAGAGAAAGATTTATTTGAACTAATTGAATCAGAATGCAGAAAAAGCTTGACAGGGCAAAAAAAAGTTGATATTAAGAACATGATTGTAAATGAATAGTTGTCACATCCTGCACAGCCTCTGACCTCGTGGCACAGGCAGGAGCTGCATGGATAGCAGAAAGTCCAAATGGAGAGCAGAGGGGAAGTAGCTTCCTACGTCTGATTGGGGAAGCCATGGCAGCTTAGTTTGTCATTTCTGGGCACCACATTCCAGTGAGGGCTGTGGCAGGGTTTAGGCAGCCTATGTCAAGTGTGGTAGTCACAGGAGTTTGGACTGTGGAAACCACATAAAAGAAACAGATGGAAGGAGGAGCCAGCAAGCTTAGTCAGAAGAGTCATGTGTGGATCAAGATTGCTAATTTCAACTGTTTCAGATGTTAGGCTGAAAATCAATTACATTTCTCCCTGTGTCTGTAAAGGAAAGAACTAGGACCAATGAATAGGAATCCTGCAAGGGAAATTCTGACTCTATATAAGGAGGAAATGTCTAACAATTAAGGCCGTTTAAAACGGGACTTGCTGTCTCATGTCCTCTGTAACTGGTGACAAGAGAGACCAGAGGTCAGGGATGCTGGGGTGTGAGGACCCCTAAGCCACTGACATTATGTGTAAACTGTAGTGGAGTGTGCGTTTCTGAGAAGGGGGTTGATAGCTTTCATTATTTCTAAAAGATATCTTTTATATAAGTTAAAGAAGATTATTACATTATTAGATTATATATTTCTATATAATTAATACAGATTATTATTAAACAGGTGGCTTTAAGGCAACTAAAGGAATATGTGATTTTTCAGAAATAAGGATATAGCAAGGGAGGGAGGAGAAAAAGAAATCAACATACATTGAATAGTTACATGCTACGGAATTTGCTGAGTTATCCACATGTATTATCATATTGGCATAATTGCAGTTTTGCCATTACTTTTAATGGCAAAAACCAAAATTGCTTTTGCATCAACCCAATAGCTTTCACAAAATGCCTGGAATGTCAGAAAAACAGATGCTTTGTTGAATTATGTATCAGAACCCTTAGCAATATTAAGTTGCCTTCTGACCCTAATTATTCGATGAATGTAATCTAAGAATAATCAAAGATATGGGAATATATTTAGGCGGCATTACCTATAATATTTAGAAATCAAAAGCCGCTTAAGCAACTGAATTTAGCTTTAAAAACTTCTGGTGCATGTACATGATAGAGTAGTTTTTATACATTGTTTTGTTGGGAGAGGGAAAATAATCGTTAATAGATATAAACAGGCTCATGATCTAAATACATAAAGTAGAATACGGGAAAACAAAATCTGTATACAAACAGAAACACTTAAAGTAAATGCACAAAATGGAGACAGCAGTTGTCTCTGAATGGTTCAATAATAATTAATGCTTTTTGTTTTCTTCTTTTTATTTTTCTTTTACAAATTTTCCTGTTATGAGTATATACACTGTTTACAATTTAAAAAGAAAGACGTAACTCTGAATATCACACAGTGCAAGTCATGAAATTTCATATCAAAATCACGTCTCTAAACTTTAAAAGTTTGTGCTTCATTTTATTCTACCATGTTTTCCTTCTGTAACATTTACCTATGTATGACTTTTAATAGTCTATCGTTTTGACAAAATAATTTGTAGAACTTTAAGCATCACAGCATAGTCATGGGTTTGTGCATTCTTTGTAATAATCTGCCATTATTTGAGGAGCGTCTGCCTGCTGATAGGCAATATCTGATGAATATTGAAAGGGACCATTAATTAAGGAATTTAGAGACCACAGTGACAATTTAAAATCTATTAGAAGTTATTTAGTATTAGAAAACAAATATGTATATTTCCTCCCTATTTTAGGAGTAACTGCGTAAATGTCTTGGTAACGACAACACAACTGATCCCAGCACTTGCGAAGGTTCTACTCTATAGTTTAGGAGGTGCTTTCCCCATTGAGAATATTTACAGTGCAACTAAAATAGGTAAGGAAATTATTTTAAACTCTGTATGGAATGTGTCCATATCTGTGTGTCTCCGCATGGTTCCCTTTTTCATCAGTTTCACTTAGTACATGAAACAAATTTGGATAAAGTTCAAATTGTAAAGCCCCCTGCAACTCATCGGGCATATATGAATTTTCTGAGAACTGTTGCCTAGTGACATTATGAACTCAGTATCTGAGTTTAGATATTTCATTCTTGTATTTCACAGAATATCACAGCACATGTTATCTAAATAATATGTAATACCTCTAGCCATAGTATGTAATAGTTTAATTAGTATGGAGTATAGTGTTGCATCCTTGCATATGCAGTAATCTAGATCCAAGATAAAAATACTATTTGGCTTTGCAGGGGAGTCTTAGATGGATTGAACTAGTGTCCTTAATTAGACAAAAAAAAAATTAAAAGAATTTCATGAATCAGAAAACAAAACATAATAGGAATATTCATAACATGAGTGACTGGAAATCTACATTTCCAAAAATGTGCAGTAGCAATCAAAGAACCAGCACCTTGTTTATTTAGATAATATCGATTTGTGGAACCATCTTTGATTTTTAAGTGCATTTCTCACAGACTCCAACTTTTAATAAACATTGAAAAGCAAAACTTCATCAACTTCTGCTACATTGAAAGAGTTAAAAGAAAACTGATGTATTCCACTGTCTGTCAAGAAAATACTCGGGAAAATAAGTGGGTTGTATAATATGCCTTGAAGGTCAACAAACTTGGGCTCTGGCACATTGACAAGAGAAGTTCAAAATCCTAAAATCCCCCACCAAAAATAACCTGCCCTGGGCTTTGAGGAGGTCTGATGTTGGCCTTGGCAAAAGGAGCCTCCACTTGCAGCTGTTTCAGGAGTACAGCTAAGGAGAGCCAAGCTTCCGTAGAGTAAATTTCAATTGTCACAAGCACTATAGTCCAGAGCCTGGATATCAATACCATACATTTTTAATGCAAATGCATGTATTTATGTCAGCAGGACTAATAGAAGGTAATTTTGCTTTTTGAGAAATCCAATAATTTTATGGCAGAATAAACATTTATTTTAGTAAGGACAGTATTCTATTGGCCAAATAGTTCCTTATATTTAATCTGAAAAAAAGTCATTTTTATTTTTCCCTTTAAGCTAGTATTTTTTGGAGTTCTGAACCATCAGATTAAGAAAAAAGGCAGAAGTAACGATGGCTGCATGAACATTCTGGGAGTGAAATTTAGAGAATAATGCCAATGTTGGGTTTTTTTTTTTTTTTGAGACGGAGTTTGCTCTTGTTACCCAGGCTGGAGTGCAATGGCGTGATCTCGGCTCACCACAACCTCTGCCTCCCGGGTTCAGGCAATTCTCCTACCTCAGCCTCCCGAGTAGCTGGGGCTACAGGCCACGCCACCATGCCCAGCTAATTTTTGTATTTTTACTAGAGACAGGGTTTCACCATGTTGACCAGGATGGTCTCGATCTCTTGACCTCTTGATCCACCCGCCTCGGCCTCCCAAAGTGCTGGGATTATAGGCATGAGCCACCGCGCCTGGCCGCCAATGTTTTAAAAACAAAGAACATGTAGAAATTCCACCGTTATGTTCCCATAGTGCAATCAGCGGATACCAGTGTTGTCAGTACTGTGGCCCTGTCAGACAGCACCCTTAGTAGAAGTTATTTGAGCAGGCTAACTCTCACACACTTGAAGAAAGGCATTGTTTATCAAGGTAAATTGACTTCTTAGTATGTCCTCATTTCTGAGGTGAACCTTCAGTTTTTCACTGGAACGTATTTAGCTGACATGTCTTTGCTACTTAAAATTTATTTTTAGAATTAAACAAAGATTGTTAAAACGTATAGTTGCCTGTAAAGTTGCCCCAATACTCTGTTGGTAGAGAAAAACATACTAATATTTTCTCTAGGTCAAATGCTTAACCCTAGTGATGTTTTTGGAGTGTGAAACACATTTGTTTAATCATCTGTCCTAAGTAACTCCTTACATTATTCAAATATGTGTTGATTTCATAAACCCAGATGTTGTGAGCTAGTTCAAGTGATGTTCAAGAGGCATTAAATTAACACTTTATGAATCTTTAGGTTAATGAATGCAACGGCTGGAAGAATAAGCAGTGCATTGTTTTTCAGGCAAGGAAAGCTGTTTTGAGCGTATAGTGTCCAGATTTGGCACTAACATAACTTATGTTGTGATTGGAGATGGCCGAGATGAGGAGCATGCCGCTAACCAGGTAACTTCACTCTGAACTTTATCTCATTTATCTTCCAGGAAAAGAAAGTTGCTTTGAACGAATAATGCAAAGGTTTGGCAGAAAAGTAGTGTATGTTGTAATTGGGGATGGTGTAGAAGAAGAACAGGCAGCAAAAAAGGTAACCTGTCTCAAACAATGTTGGTGTGATACTTCTAATGCAAGCCTTTTTGTTTGCATTTCTGTAGTTTGGCCCAATGGCAGCTTGACAAATGATTTAAATTTATAGATGCAAAGCAATAAGAGCATGAGAGGATCAATACTTACATTCAAATAAACCATTTGGAGTTTAGCATTTTTTACCTGATGATAGGAAATGCAGAGAAATTTAGTTATATGTATTTATGTGTTTGGATGTATATACATATAGTAATATATATATTTGTGTGGGCGTGTGTATATATATGCTTATATATATATATGCACATATATATATTAATATACATACAATATGCACAGATATAGATGAACCAGGGATCTGCAAGAAAGATGGGGTGGGGGGGAAGCAACCATTGTTAAGTACATGAAATTTAGCAAGATAAAGATTAATGAGCTCCATACAAAACTCATGTGAGTAGTTGATGAGACCTGCATACCATATGGTCCTTGTGAGTGCCTGGAAGTAGCATGCTCAATGATAAGGAATGCTGAGGGCAGATTACATAGCTGAAGAAAAACTGCTACAAGAGATGGTAATCAGCGCTACTGAAATGGGATGTATTGCTCAGATCCTTTTGCACCAATTGTCTTAGCGGTAATGTGCCTCGCATGTCCTAGAAGAGCTTCATCTGTTTTGGTGAGCCAGTGGTACTTGATTGAAGCCAAGCAGCTGGCTTTGAACACATTCAGATCTCACAGGCCCTAAGTGTTTTAATAAGCCTTTTCATCTGGCCCATATTTCTGAAGAAGAAACCAAGGCAATTAAAAACCATTAAATGGTTGGTTCAATATCAAAAGAAGAATGATATCAGGATTGGCCCCCAACACCAGGCTGTCAGTCAACTCCACACTGAGATCTACTGCCGCCTTCACTGAATGATAGAAAAATATCATCTAGCCAAGATAAAAGTGATAGAATTTGCAAAACAAAGCCAGATGAATTAGTATTTTTGAACAATGACATACCAGCTTACATTGTTTTACAAAGGAAAAATGTTATTCTTTATTACCCTAAGGAGGTTTTAAACCATCATCTAATAAAGGCTTCACCACTTGCATGTGCTGGAGTGTTTACCTGTTTTCAAAAACAGTCAACATAAACAGTTTTATAGAAAAGTTTACAGCTGTAAGAGAAAGGAAATGATGTATGTTTCTAGTTGATTTAAATCAAGCAAAATGGAGAAAAGGAAAGCACTTCCACTTTAGAAGATTTGGTGACAGTATTGGCAGCCATACTTGAAAATCTCCATGCTTTTCAATTATCTTTGAGAGAATGGGTTCAGGCTCTGCCTCCCACAGAACACCTCAGCCTTCATTAGCACTGTCAATGACCCAAGACAGCACACTGGCCCCAAGCATGTCCTGTATGAGGTCAGGACTGCAGCCTCAAGAAATACAGCTTTCATTGCTGACTACCATTTACAGTGCTTCCAGTCACACTCAAATGAAATATCTTCTGGAGTTTGTCAATGTCCTGGGTCCATGTTATGATTTTTCCTATTGGCATCATAGTTATACACAGCAAAGAGCAGCCAGTGATTAGTGATACAGCCCTGCTCCAGCTAAATTTACATGTCGTTTAGCTTATACCAATTAAATTCATGTATAATTCACTTTTCCAAACCAACGAAGATGTATGTCTTTGACAATTAAAGCTTAACTGAGTCTACCCGTTTTCCACAGCATTAATGTTTAGATTCGGTTTACCAGTTGTTACACCGTCTACTTACTTTATACGTAAAACTTCAGGAGGGAAAGGCATGGCCCTGAATGGAAAAGAATCTCAGATAGAATGCTATTTCCAAATGGTTGTTTATGTAGGTACAGTTTTGGTGATGGTGAAGGCTTATTCTATTTTAAAGCACAGGTGGTTGGTTTCTCTAGTACCCAGAATGCATGCTTTTCTTTGGATGTAGCAGTAATCGCATGTGCAGAAATGTTAAGTACTGTTTTGTTGTTACAAATAGATCTGAGCTGAATGAAAATAAATGGTACTTCTGTGTGAATTCCTATGCTTTAATTTGACCTAGACATATTTTGTTTGAGAAATTTAAGAAAAAATATCAAAGTTTAGGAATAGGAATGTCTAATTGCGCTCTTCTGTAGAAACATATAATATTAATACAAGCTGCATATGTAGTTTGACATTTTCTAGAAGCCACATCTTAAAAAATTAAAAAGAGACAGGTAGAATTATAACATGTCCACCCAGTATATCCAAAATAATTGTCTTGACATCTAATTAATATAAAAGTTATTGAAGCCACATTTATATTCTTTTTTGTTGTTGTAAGTCTTTGAAATTCAGTATGTATTTTAAACTGGACTAACCACATTTCAAGTGACCAATCGCCACAATTGGCTGGTGGCTACCATAGTGTGCAGCAAGGAATTATATAAAATCAGGATTATTATACTACTTAATTCTTAAACGAAATGTCTTTTGCATGTTTTATATCTATATACTCATTCCCCATAGATACACGAATAGATATTTTCTACATACATATTCTAGAAGATGTCATCAGCCCAAACTTACAAATCATGCTTTTGTTTTGTCAGTTGCTGTAGTGCAGGGGTTTTTTCTTTTTCATTGTCATCGCCAGTGGGGTGTCTTTAGACTTTTATTTTCTAATTACACCCTTTCATGAAGTTGTAATGCCACAGATGTACTGTATACTATTATAGTGTATCTTTGGAGGACCACAAACCATTGTAATGTCTAAGATTTTCTGCCCCACAAGAACTCATTTTTGTCCCCTTGGGGATGATATCTTCCATTGAAAATGCATGCTAGAGTACTTTCTCTCAACTCTGTGTCAATGAAATAAATCAACTCTACTGGCTTGGCTTTCCCAGACAAGTAAGAAAATTATCATCCCCACATTTTTTCTACTTTATATAGTCCTGCTTCAAATTATTTTTATACCGAAAGGAATTCATCCTCTTTTCCTCCTAGATGAACAAAATTAAGAAGTTTATCATTTTATTTTATTTTTAACTCAGAGATAGGCCTGTAAGTTTGATGCACTGATTTAAAACTTGCTTTCCATCAGCCAGGTAGTTTTTTGATGCCCACTTGCTTTCCGAGATGTTGATGTCGGTAATGATACTTCCAGAATAAATATTAAACTGCCGAAGAAAATGTTAGTATGTTAATATTTGCTATTATGCTCACTAAAATCCAGTTCAGATCTATTTCTCTGTTACTTTGACAGTGCCATATTGGTGCTGCCAAGCCTTCACATATGATCATCCCGCCTTTAAACTCCCTGCCCTGAACTTGGGTGGACCACACATCCCTGTGTGTGCTGCTGCTTCATTGAGACGATGGTTGTGATCTCTCTCTATGCCTCATTCCTTCTCCTTCTCTCTCCCATCCCTCCTTCTCCTAACCACGCAGCACAACATGCCCTTCTGGAGGATATCCAGTCACTCAGACCTCCTGGCTCTCCACCAAGCACTGGAATTAGAGTATTTGTAACTGTGTTCTGTAGCCAGAGATCCGTTTTTTATATTTCAAGTACACTGAATTTTTATGTGTGATTCAATGCCTCTGGCGCTACACATATAAGTTGTCTTAATGGATGAAATCATATTTGGAATAAGAATTCCAGAATGAAGAATTCAGATTGCTGAATGGAGTTAAACTTTAGTGCTACAGAAAAGACACTCTATGGTCTTATATTTACAACACTTTAATGGGTTCTTTAAAAAATCTGTGGAGGTTGCTGGTACACACCGAATGAGTCCGAACTGGAACGAGCAGCTTTATCAAAGAACTCTCACTCTGGCAAAGCAGCAACACACGTGCCCCGTCTGACAAGGTGGTCAACGACATTCCTCAAAATGAGAGATTTTCTCAGCCCTGAGGTTTGAATCTGACTTTAGCCTACCTAGCCCAGAAAATCTGAATTGGAATGCACTCAGACTGTAGAAGGACAGTCCTATCTAGACCTGTAATTTGTGTAAATTGTTGATGAAAATAATTTACTGTGACTTTATTAGCAGCTGACTTTCAAAGTGGATGCAATTTTTCTTTCATTTGTCGGGGAGGGGAGTGGGAGGGGAAATGGGAATATAATATTGTCTCTTTTTTAAGTTTGGCAAACAGAATGTTCATACTGATGTGTTGTGCCTTACAGACAAGACAGCATTTGTGTGTTACAATGTAACTTTGGTTAAAATCTCTGTAGATAATGAAAAACAAAAACCTTTGTGATGATTCTTAACATGACCAAATTTAAAAGTCAAGCTCTCAAAGCTTAATTACCGCATCAGCAAGAAACTGAGTATTTGTTGCAATAAGAAAACAACAACAATAAAGGAAAGCTTGTGTTTTATTTGGGTTCTTAATAATTCCAATAATTGTATGAGGCAACTATTTGCGCATCCAACCGTAAGCAGAAGGTTTGGGAAAGATTATGGGACCTTTACTTAGAAAGTGAAATGTATGTAGAAGTCTCAAGTACCCCTTCTACAGTTTTGCTGGAGAAAACTAAGAGCCATATTCATGACAACTTGCACAGTTTTGAGGTTGAGACTTTTGATATGTGTAAGTTGCAGAGAGGAAGATATTATCATGCAAATCATGAGCAATTATCACATAAACGTTTTTAGAATATGCATGGACATGGCGTCAAATTCACATTGAGTGAACATGGCTTAAAATAAAGCTAAGTGTTTTTATTCCCAATGTCATTGCACAAATGATAATATCATCAGTAATGGAAGGCAGATCTCCCAGATGGTGTCTAATGAAAGCAATGAGTCTATGAAAATTTTACCTAGAATATCATTGTAAATTAAATTAGCAAGTGAGCTGGATCTTGACAGCGTCACTGAAATGACAACAGTAAAATAGTACCTGGTTCTCCATCTGAATACATCAATGCAGGTTCTCTTCCTGACAGGCTTGCATTTGTTAGTTTCTGCCTGTATCATTACTGCGCAATGGATGGCATTCATTACCAGAAGAACCTGTCATCACTGTGTTTGCATGGTTTTTTTTTCCTTGTGTGCAGCCCATGTTGGGAACATGATACAGGTTCTCCTCTTATTTCCTATGACATGATTTCCCTTGTGGAAATTTAAGACTTTAAGAACTAGAGTATTTTAATGGTGTCTGCACCTGCAGCTCTGTGTTTAAAATATCATAATGTGGATCCTGGAGTCAGGCTACTCATCAGTGCCCCTAGCCAGAGGCTGGTTCATGAGTTCATCACTTGGGGCCTCTGAGGCTTCAATAAAGTCTACATTTTGCTCACAGATCACAACATTCACTGTGGAAATATGATTTCATTTCTTCAGGCTACAAACCTGTATTTCTTTACTGAATGCTAAGGCCATGTTTATATTGGGCAGAAAGATATTGAGATCCCAGTTTTGCACAAGATTGTGATTTAATCATCTAAACCTTAAACTTATCCTTTAAATTTTGTAGCTTTTGGCTGCCTCTGCCCCAAGTACTATTCCAGGCAAATTAAAGTTGGAATACTTTCAATAATATAAAAATAATGATAAATTTTACACATTTGTTGGCCTCTAGCTTGAAAATAGCAGTTAAAAAAATTTAAGTGTTGCCTTGATTATCAGCACTTATTTTGTGTACCAAATCCTTAAATATTTATTACTGTGAATAAAAACAAATCATCTTTACTGTATAGCCTGTTTCTTTTCTTTTTTTTTTTTTTTTGTTAAGTTATTTCATAAAGATGC